TGAAGAAAAGAAAAATCCCGCATAAGAAGGATTTGATGAGTTAAAATAGTGCAATCAAACGTTGGTGTACATTTCGAGATTGACATTTTTATTTTTACTTATATATTTATTCAGTTTTTTGTTTATTATTTTGACTCATGTTCCACTAATTTTTTTTTGCATTATCATTTTTCATAATTCGCTTTTTCATTCTAATAAATAGATGACAGCAGAAAAAAAAGCAGTAAAAAATCTGCTTTATAAGGCAATTAAATTCTGCGTCAAATGCAATTATTGCGAGACAGAAAGAGTTTTTTGTTGTTGTTTTTCCTGTCTGTTATTAGAAAAGATTACACAAAAAATAATTATTGTTGTAATTTTGCTGTCACCAAATCCATATTGTTCAAATTTCTTACTACTCGGTCACTTTGTTTTTTCTCGCTTTATTATCCTTCTCATCATTCATTTATTCACTTATTCACTTTTGCGCTTAAAACATCTGACTGGAGAGGGATGATGACGATGATTATCTGTATTGATTGTGATAATGGCAGATACAGTCAGTTGCTCTTTTCGAGCTGCTGAAACAGTTTAAGGTTTGATCAGACAGACTCTTGTCAAGTTGAAAAAAAAAAACATAAACGAGAAAAATTTTATTTTTATCTGGTGTAAACAGATTTGATATTTATTAAAAAAGGCGGAGGAGAATCAACTAATTGTTTTCGTCTTTCTCATTCACCAAATTTATAAAAAAAAAATAAAAAATTTTTATTAAGAATTTTTTTCATTTTTCTTTTTTTTTTCTTCACTTTTAACAAACAGCAGTAGGTGAAAGAAAATAAGGCTTATAAATTTGAGCCGAAAATGAGTTGATTTTTTATAAATTATTTAAAAGTAAACAATAAATTCTTTTAGTTTCTTTTCAACTAAAGTTTTTTCTAATTTATTTTTTAAAAGAAAAACACAAATCCCGCGGGGATTTTTCTGAGAACCCATATTTGATAGGAAGGAACTTTTAGCCAGCGGCGGGTCCTGAAGGGGTTTAGTACAGCAAGTTCTCCCTGGAGTGGCAAGAAGGGGAGAGGAAGGAACGAGGATTAATTTGTATCAAGAAACGGGCTAGTTTCTCACAAGTTCAATCGTTCGTCACTCAGGCACTGTCATGATTTACGCAGTAAGAATCACTGTATTGAAGTATGAATAAGACCTTCACGAAATGCATTTTACTTTTCCTGCAGTGTTCAAAGTTTTTTATCTGCTAATACATTTATCTGTAGTCGTCTGGAAAGAAATGTGTACTGATTTCTTTTTCACAAATATTTTCATTGCTAATTAATTTAATAGGAGTAAGATAATTATACTCAAACAAAAAATGCTTCTAAGTGTTGCCACAATAAATTAACCCTTTTCTTGTAATAAAAATCTTGCTTGAACGTAGGTGTTCAAAAGCATTGGTCGCTTTCCCAAAAATTCGACGCAGGAAATTGCCAAAAAAAAACTAGCGCAGGTAAAGGGAAAAAAACTTTCTAAGTATGCCATTTGTTGTTCAGAAACTCACATGATGAAGAAAGGTCAGATTTCGCAAAATATATTGTCCTCTTCGTATAGGATGAGCTAACGTAAAAAAAAACCTTTTTTTGAAAGAATATAGATTGAATGATGCTTCCACCTAATATATTTTTAAACTTTCTAATTTGATGATCGCACAGTTTTATGTGTCAAGCACTCGGAATCTTATTACGGCTAATTAAAGTGCAGTGACAACAACATCGAGCCTTATTTAGACAGAAACCGTGATCATACCGTAGAGGATAGGAAAAATCACAGGCGTGCGCAGAAGAAAATATTAAAACAAACGAATGAATTACGGGTGGAATATAGGAACAAAAAAAAACGTTGATGTCAGTGATGTAAGTTTAAAACGTCTAGTGACTCTACAAAACAGACAAAAGTACGGAAGATTTAGCTACTTTTGATTCATACTGGTTTTGTAATTGCCAGCAAGATTTTCTTTAGGAAAAGTTGTCTACTTTAGTTTGCTGCTTTCTAGCTTTATCCACTACTTTTTCAGACTACTTATTGCATCAAGACAGGAAATAATTTATACCAAAAAAAAGAAGATGAAATTGATTCTTTTTCAAAATTTAAGGCTGTATATGATTTTTCTTTCTTTTTTGATGTCATAGGCACACCTTTTTTTATGCATTGCTCTAAAATTATTTTCTTTGTGAAAAATATACATTTATCGTTCCTTTCTATCTTCTTTATAGATATAACGATATTTTTTCTTTTCCTGACACTTTTTCACTGCTTATACAAAGTCTTTTCTGCTAGAAGCAAAATTTTGAGAGATTAGACTTTAGTGTGCTCGATTTGTTTTGCAGAAAAGTTGGTCCCGCTCTCGTGACTTATTATCGCCATCGGATCATTTTCCGGTCACACCTATACGACGATGTCGTTCAGCCACAAGGTTACCTCCACGTTCACCTCTGTTGTCATTCGAGCAAAAAGTGTTGATCAAGTAAACAGTATTCTGTCTGGTTCAATTTCTCTTTGCCTTATAGCAACCAAGAAAAAGAAACTGAATCTGTAGAACATTCTCTACTATCGTTTTTGATTGATAAACAATGATGACATGACATAAAACATTGATTTTGAATGCTATTTTTTCGCAAGATTTATTTTTAAAATTTTTTATTAACCTCAAGAAGTAGCTTTCGCTGTAATCAGAATCATATTTAATAGATATTTTGAGAAGTTTTTGGAGTTTTTTCGGGTTTTTTCTGCTCAGTCGACATTTAAAATCATTGATTCTGGGATTGCATTACTGCATTTTCGGGTAACAAATAGAACTGTAACTCAATTTGACTAATCTATTCAACAACAATCTTTGGAAAGGCTTTCTTTCCTGATTGAGACTAATGTGCTATTTATGTCTGCTAACCACTTTTCCAAGCTACCTCTAACATAAAAATCCGTCTTGTCTTTCCTAGCCTGTCTTTTTGTGACAATTTTTTAGCATTTTAGTTGCTGTTTCTGTTACAGCACACAATATAAGTCTTACTGTTTGACTGTAATGCAGAATTTGGTTTTTCCATTATTTGGTAAATTCATTACTTACCACTTCTGCTCTGTTAGGCTTTTTCAAATTTGAAGTTGAAGACAAATAGGTACTACAAAAGTCATTTTTTGCATAAGAACGATTTTTATAATGGAGTTGCTACAGTAGCTTGTTTTAGTATGTAAACGTACAATTTGATTAGTCACTTAGGTATTTAAGTAGTTTTTTGTTATGAACCACTTATTATAAAAAATATAAAGCCTAAGTCGTTTTCTTAAAAAAAATAACGTTGTAGTTAGTACATAACATTGCCAGTAATTTACTGGAGGTTGACATTTGAAGATTCAATTTTAATCGCTATTTGAAAGACGGCTACAAAAGTAGAAGAAACGGCTTGAGCTACTTTTCAAAATTAATTTAGGAAAACGTCAAAAGAAAATTTGTTTTCTACAAAGTTTTATTAAAACAAGGAATATGTTTTATCTACTTTCTGTTTGTCCTATTTATTTTCAAGGAAATCTCAAACGGGCCTTTCTTTAAGTATTAGAACAGAACGCTCTCTAGAGTGTCGGAATTATCACTTGAAGTATATGGCTTTTAAAGACATTCGTATATGATTTTCTGATTTACTGCTTAAAGAATGGTGTCTCGGCGGTATTCTTCAATGTGATACAAGAGGAACTTTTGGATTTGGTAGTATTTTGTTGAATGTGGGTTTGCTGAAGCTTGTTAGTAGGTGGAATTGCCGTAAGTCAGGTTTAGCCCCAGAAAAATAAATTTTGTTCTGTTCACTACCGCCATTGCAGTACGACAGATTCTACAAGTAGACCTGCCGACTTGGCTGTGCTAAGATAAAGATCTTCTCGACAAAACCATTTTGAATACAAAGGTCTTCCGTTCAAGTCTTGTTTGTGAAGATTTTTCAAAGAGTTCGCATTGGTCAAAAAAACCTTGTATTCTGGTTGGTATTTTCGTTTTTTTTTTCTTTTTTTTTTAAGATGCAATAACTGAACTGTCGGCATCACAGCACTATTAGTCCATTTTATGTTACTCATACATTGGTCAGTCGTATAACTGGTGTGATTTTCTTCAAAGTGTTTTTTTAAGTTTTTTGCATTTTTTTCTTTGATCTTGCTTTTAATTCTCGTCGCGAGCCACTTATCTGAACAGAGTAGAAAAAAAGAACCAGACATTTAGCTTGGTAGCAAATATCTGCACAGTTTTTGGTAGACTGGAAATGGCAAAAAATTTTGTTTTAAATTTTTTTCTGTACAGATTTTTTTTGTATGAAGTGAAGGCAGAAGAAAAGTTACTTAAAATGTAGTGTTTGATTAAAACGGTTCAATCGCTTAAGGACAAGTGTTGCAAAATATCTAACAACGCGTAATAGAGTTTTTGAATTCCGAGTTTAAAGCTATTACTGTGCCATAGCTGTAATTTAAACTTGAAAGATGTAAAATTAGATTAGAGATTAATTGTTAAATTTTAGATTTTCTGCACAAAGTGAATTTTTTGCACAAAAACGGGTTTGACGTTATTATTTTTTAATGCATTATGGTAGAAAGAGACAGCTGATTGTATCAAGTGACTCTGATCAATCAAGAACAGGGTTTTTTATATATCAAAAAGTGATACACCTAACTTGTTTAAGTCATAAGGAGGTTTTTAAAGCGATTAGAGAAAGCTATTCGTTTCACACACACATTAGTATCAAATAATGAGAAGTTTTTATCAAAAGTTTTTAGAGTTTTTCTGCGTTGCTGCTTTTCTGCCTTAAAAGCAATTAGCGAGCTTATTAAATTTTTAATTTTTTTTGTAATATATTCTCATATATTTTTTTAATTTTATTTGGTACTTTTTTTATTTTGTTCTTATAAGCAATTAAAAATTTAATTTACGCAATTCTCTATTAATTTTACTGAACATTAAAATTGATGCGATACGAGAACTTTAATGTCTCATGCAATGCGTTGATGCATTCACAATTGAGGGACAAGATAGTTGTTCTTACAGGCGATCATGGCAAAAATTATCGCAAACAGCTCTTGGGCAAACGATTTATACAAAAATGACCAATCTAAATGGAAAAATGGAGCAGTTGTTAAACAACGACTCTAATCTTATTGACAGACATAAACGCTATTTTAGCGAACTATTACAATGTGCCGTCGATAATCTTGACAGCACCGAGGAGACACTAAAAGCTTTCTTAGAGCTTATTGGAAAAGGACATGCTGGATTCAAAATCAGGTATTTGCTTTAGTATGCTTTTACAACGGTCCAAACTGAATGATGGATTATGATTGTAGTATGCAGCTTAGATGCTGTTTTTGAATGACTAAGCTGAAACCGCTTTCTGATAATTTTCTCACCACCAAAACTACTTCAAGTACTATTCTTATTTAACTAAAAATTATTTATAGCATTTATATGTTAGCACGAAACAGTATGAAGAAACAGGAGAAAAAGGAAGAAATATAGCACTAATGAGGTGGTTGCAGATGTAAAAAGCATATATAACTTACTGTTTAAAAAATATTTAATTTTCTGTAAGCGAACCAATCAATAAAGAATTGTGGGTTTAAAATTTAAACAAAAATTACTTTTTTATCGTTAAAATTAGCTTTATCAAAAAAATCTACACAGGGCTTTCTTCACCTTTTGTTTGTTTAGACTTTCCTTTTTTCTCAGTATTTTTAAAACACACTAGTGCTTAACGTTGTATAATACATAAATCAAAGAAGAATTTTACGTTCTCTTGACAAAGAAAATAAACATGTAAGTAATATTTTAGTTTTTTGGAGGTATCTTTGATAATAAAAAAAGTGTAAAACTTAACTATAAGGAGATTTTGCGAACACTGTTGTTCTTAAAAACCTTCTTTGTCACTTTATTAGTTCGCATAGTTCGAAAAGGCTTCTTTTAGACATAAAATTATCGATTAATTAGGCATATTATTATATTTTTTTCGTTTTTTTTTCAAATATCTTCTAAATTGCTTTGGATATCTCAATAATCATAAGACAAAAGCTACGCCTGATCTAAAATCTTATAGGAAATTTGACCTACCATCGCTTTAAAAAATTATGCTGCCAAAAATTCTAGTTTGTTACATCTACTTTTACCACTCCAGCTGTGATTTGAAAATCTAACTTCGCCATACCTTACCCGATATTTTATGAATTTTTTAGTCTACCGTTTTGATAAATAATTGAATTAACAAGTAGGAAGGGTCGCTGGAGGCAGAAACGAAGATTACCGGTAAGGTAGTGAAAAAGCAATCAAAATTAACTGACTGCATTGGAGATGAAATAATTACCTGTCGCCATTTCTGCAAAATCTGCCCAAAATTTTCTGCTTTAGATGTTCGTTGCCAGTTGATCATATGAAGATTCTCAAAAACAGTAGAATGAGACGGTGAAAGAAAAGAGAAATACATCTATGTACTTTTGGTTCACTTATAGTCAACAAACAGTTTCGGACTAAACAGAACGATTTTTTTCAGCGCTAAAGATTGGGACACATTTGGTGAAGCGGTCGTAACAACAGTCAAGAACCGAAAAGGTTTATTTAAGTCACAAAAGGAAACCATCAAGGCCTGGATAATCCTAATGTCTTTCATCTCTGATCGTCTAGGATTGGCAACAAAAACGGCGGTTAGCAGTCCACTGGTAACACCAAGGATTCAGATGTTGGCTATGATGTCGTGCAGCGAAGATAAGATGCCTTATAAAGTGTGTATATAGAATTGTATTTAAAAAAAAGTGATTTTAAGACGCTTATATGAAAATTTTTAATCTGTCGTTTTTTAATTTGGCTTTAAAATTGTTGATTTTAACCTGCTTCTCTTCACCGGCACCGTAGTCTCTGGTATCATCTTTTTTTTCTCATTTTTTTCGTTCGTTGTCTTTATTTATACCGCACATCATTCTGATTAGAACGATGACCCAAGCTGTTTGTGAATAAACAAGTGTACAGTAATGAACAAAAAAGAGTAAAATTGTTATTGCTATTTTTTTATAAGCGCAAAATTCTAATTAAGGTTGAGAAAGCGCTTCTGTTAGGTGCAAATTTTAACAGCTTTTTACAATTTTTAACTACACTATTAACCGGTATCTAGTCTACACTTAAATAAACAAAGAGGTCTTTTTCAGTTATAAAAGTTGAGATTTTTATTAAATTAAGAATAAGAGCATTCGAGTTTTGATGAAAAATTTTTGCTCCATTATACAGCTCTCTTTCCACTGCTGTAAGACTGTGGAAGAAAAGCTTTTGTAAGAAGAGTATAAACGTTTGAAAGTGAGAGTAAAAAACAGTACCTTGAAGAAGGTAAGCATAAGAAAATTTTAAAGTTTTTAAAGATTGATTTATCTCGTTTTGCGAACTGTAGTAAACTTTTTGATAGCTTTTCAATTCAAAAGCTTACAGTGCATCAGTGTTACCACCAAATTTCTCACCTAAACCATTCGCACCTCCTTTGTCTTTGTAATGATAAAAGAACGAAATATCAGTGAAAATTGAAGCACAAAAGACAAAAAAAAAAAAAAAAAAAAAAAAAAAA